TTTGGTGCATATAAATGACTCTCGCTGTTGAATCGCTCACAATATTGGATAAGTAGCTAAATAGCTAAATACATGTCCATGACATGTACTTAGCTACTACTCAACATCCATACTCGACTTTCCTAGAACTTGATTATTATTTATTTATTTATCTAGCTAGTGTCCTCCTTTTTTTTCCGTGCGGAAATCCCCTCGGATACCACCTATCGGTGGCATGTCGGACTCGAACCGACTAAAACCGCACGCCGTCTCGGGTACTAATAGCCGGGGAACCAGGTATACCCTAGAAAGGAAGTCCCTGGTGCCCCGACATACCTCGAGCCATCTACAACAACAGGTAGACGACCCCCCCCCCCCCCCCCCGTGTAGGAACCCCATGTTCCCTCTGCTCCCTGGAAGCGAGCGCGCTTAGCAACGCGGTCGCCGCCACCCCGTAGCTAGTGTCCACCTAGCTGAAGATAGGCCAATGCAAGAATGTACAACTTTGCGGTAGATATACAGGTACATAACTAAAAGCTGCTGACAAGGAAAATTAATATAGGTCGCAAATAAGAGTGACGGAAAAAGAAAAATGTGTGAAGGTGTTACCTTACTATTTTATGGGGTTTTTCAAACCTGACAAAACTTATTCTTTTTAAACATAAATTACAGGTGGGATTGCCTGAATTAAGCACACAGGAACATTAAGATTGACAATATGATAGCTAAATATCAAAGTCAATGAAGTCTTAAGATCATTGCAATGATGATATTACAATCTTTAAAAACTGAAAAACACCAATAAATAGCAAATACGAATGTCCTTTTTTTAACTTTGTTATTAACGAACTTTTTAATGCCCGAGATATATCTTAAAAACTTGACTGACCTAACTAATTCTTAATGTAGGTAGTTTTTGCTATAAAAGTGATTTAAAACCGTTCCTCTTGAACAGATCATCTTCGCTATCTCTTTTCTACAGTACTATTACAAACTGTCCAACTTTAATGAGACTTGTCAATTTTGTTCCATTTCTACAGTGTCAAAAGATCAGATTTAGAAAAAAAAAATTTGGTTTCATTTTCTTGTAAATCAGGGCATTGATTAAACTTATTAGGTATTTTAGAAGAGTAATACGTATTACCTATTGATGTTGCGTATTAAAATAGTCATTCTCATCAACAACTGAGTGACACCAACTATAAATACCTATTTCCTTTCTTTTTAATTCTCGTAAGATAGGTAGTATCCAACTTTTGCACAGAAAAAGGAATAATATTGTGGTTTTTTGATTGGGGAGATTATTATTCTTTTTAAATTTGTAACTTGTTCACGGGTCTTAAATCGTGAAGTCTATCACTAAATGAATTTAAGTCTTTCAGTTAACCCACATCGGAATCTATTCAACCAAGGTTACCGTATTCTAAGATTGAGATTTTCGCAAATTTATTTCTAACCCTTCTAATGAATCTAATCCTTAATTCCAATTCACTACTTCTTAAATGGAAAATTATACTCGTGCTGTTCATCTACTTCTAGGCAAGTTGATGGACGAGGTGATCGTTAATTCGTATAATTTAATACAATTACCCAATTTTCGTGTGGATTAAGAATACGGAATGTCACCACCCCTATTCATCCCGTGGGTGTACGCCGTAAGAGCCGACTAAGGGAGCAAACTAGACAGGACAACAGCACTGCAAAGAGAAGGAAAACTTGAAACAAACCCTTTTTTTTTTTTTTTTAACGTGTGGAAATCCCCTCGGACCGTCACCCCTCCGGGGTTTGCGGCGGGGTGGTGTGTCGGACTCGGACCGACTAAAACCACACGGTGTGCCACTCTGCGCCTGTAACAGGAGGGATCCGGGAACAGCTGTTGTTAAGACATCCGGACCCCTCCTAGCGCCAGCCCGCTCCTGGTGCGGGCTCCGTCTCAAAATTTTCCTCTCTTTAGGCGACGTCCGGCACACGCGAACGCCGCCCCCTCGCGGCTGGCCAAACTAATGCGGGTGGAGGGGAAACCCACCCCGTCCGGCGGCGGATCGGGTCCGAGTGGAGGTCGTCCTCCCGGGCCCTCTCCGCCGCCTCCTTCCGCGAGATTACTACCTCGCAGAAGGTTGCGACCGCGGTAAAACAACTGTCGCTACCGGCCATGGAGCGTACTACGGCCGGTAGCGAGAGATCCACTCCGATGACTGCAGTGAGGGCCCGGCGCTGCGCCGCCCATGCGGGGCAGACCGCCAGCGTGTGCTGGGCCGAGTCCTCACTGCAGTCGCAGTGGTGGCAGGCGGGACTCAGTTCCCTCCTAGCGACCGAGTGCAGGTACTTTCCGAAGCAACCGTGCCCGGAAAGCACCTGCGTCAGCCGGAAGGAAAGGGTCCCGTGCTGCCGCCCCGCCCACTTCGCGATGACCGGCTGGAGAGCCTCCACGGCGGCGAAGCCAGCACGTGGAGTCTCCAGCCGGAACGACCAACGAGCCATCGTGGCTCGACGAGCGGCTTCGCGCCACTCGCGCACATCCTCGGGCGGAGGGCGAAATCCGCTCTCCGCCCGGGAGTCAGCCACTCGCCGATAAACTTCGGCGAGCACTTCCGCCTCCAAATCCCACGGGGGAGTTCCGGCCAACGCGCATGCCACCTCCGTCGAAACGGTGCGGTAACCGCGTATGGCTCTGACCGCCATTACCCTCTGAGGGCGCCAGAGGCGTACCCTATTCTGGGCGGTCAGAGCCGCCGCCCACACCGGTGCACCGTACAGTGCCATTGACCGGACAACCCCCGTGTACAGCCGTCTTGTCGCGACGCTGGGTTAACCCATATTGGGCAAAAGTCGCCCTAGGGCAGACGCAGCGCCGACCAGCTTTGGAGCAAGCTGTCGGAAGTGCTCGTCGAAGAGCCACCTCCCGTCGAGGATCAGGCCCAGATATTTCATCTGGGCCCGAACCGGTACCAGGACCGAGTTGACCACGATTGAGGCGCCAGGGGGTGGACCACGACGGGGCCCATGAAATAACAGGGCCTCCGTCTTATCTAGGGCCACCCGTAAGCCCAGCGCCTCAATGCGCCCGACCACCAGGGAGACTCCCCCTGTGGCCAGGCGCGCCGCCTCAAACCCTATATCAACCCGTCTGGCCAGCGTGGTATAGTAGGCCAAAACCTCCTTTCTAAGGAGAGGCCTCTGTCCAGCAGTGGACTATTAAAGGCTGTTGATGACCCAATTTTGAACTTATGTGAATTATTCTATTCTGGCGCTAGTTTTTGCTAAACCATATATGCAATCCTCGAAGATCTGCACCTTTTTTTGCATGTTTACTTGCCTTGTTTTACGTTTACTTGCATGCCAGACGTTTTGGTATAGGGTTTGTGTCAAGTTTTCCTTCTCTCTGCAGTGGTTGTTCTGCGTAGTTTTCTCCCTTAATCGGGTCTTACGACAGCCACGGGATGAATAGGGCTGGTGACACTCTGTATTCTTAAGCCACCACACGGACCATTTTATGACCATTCTTTTACTGTTGAAGCTGTACGCTCGTGGAATGCATCCGATAAACATCAGGCGAGCGCAAACGATAAACAGTTTTAAGAAAATGTTTCAAGAATTTTATTTATCTTGATTAAGTCAGACGTATTAAGGCATGATACGAACGTTACTTTTTTCTTCTTTTTTATGTGATATACTTAATTAGTTATGTATATATATGTATAACATATCGTATGTATATGTGCATATGTATGTATATTGTATATTTGTTGGTATGTATAAAATGTTTCCACTGGAGCGGAGTGGAGATTTCAAGCACCGTGATTGGGTAAATTACGGTCCGCTCCTCCACTTCGTCCAGCTCCGCGTCAGTGAAAACGCACGCAAAGGTGTGATAAACTCACAATATCGCTGATATGGCCTATTACTTAACCTTCGGTGATTGATTTATAAATAAACGTTTAACGAATTATGATCATACGATACGATTCTGTCATCGGAGCTCCAAAAAAATCTGATTTTGAATAGGCTGTGAATCGTTTTTGAGGTTTGTTAATATGAGTTATCCTTAAACAGTTTTTCGCCACCCTCGAAGAATTTGATTAGGTATTTATGAAACATTTTATCTAAGGGGTACCTCTTTCATAGATTAAGTACTTAAAAGTTCTTACATAGGATACAAAAAATCTCATATATTATAAACATCGATTTATTATCAACAATTACATCATATATTCTAATCACAGGATTATCAAATTACATCGAATCAAAATATGCTATCAATCACAATACAACATAGAACTTATTATTAAAAATATTAAATACAAGTTGAGGTAAAAGCTAAATGTACATTACAGTCAAAACTAAAATTAATACAAGTATTCATTTGCTACCTGCGAATAATTAGAATATCTTATTCTAGTCAATACTTAACTGGTAAAAGTAAGGTGATTTTTATATGATTTAGTTAAAAAAAGGTTTGGTAAACTGCATAACACATCTTAGAATATTATTTAATAAATTTAATTTTATTTTAATATTAATCACCTACTTTTTATCAGTTCCTGCTGAAAAGACGAGATTTTTCAAACCTCAATAAATTAGTAAGTAGAAATTATAAGAAGTTCAGATTACAACAGGTGTCATATTCATTGAATACTTAGTTATAAGCAATATTACAATCTCTATGTATACATATAAATTAAAAAGTTATTGAGATATGTAAGAGTTATACAAATAGACATTACAACATTACAATATTTATATTTTTCTTGATAAAACACAAAATTACTGGCAACCTTACAAAACTATATTCAAAAATATAAACTCAAAACATTTTTATTTAGATGGTGAGAAAATTAATTTAAACATAATATATATTTCATAGTACCGCGTCAGTAATACTCAGTGAGTCTCAATCATTACAATATGTCGTAAATTTAACTACTAAATTAAAACTAGCAAACAAACCAGGTACCTTAAAACAAACCTTATAAAAGTCAGTCCAATGTCAATGTATAAACTCAAGTCCCTTTAAAATTTTTTTAGGAACTTGATGATGTAATGGCCAACTCCTGAATAGCTTCACCTCTTAGCTGCGGAAGGCTGGATACTTTGGCAAGTGAAACATCTAGATATTTATTGTATACAGCCTTATATTTGGAATTGCTTACATTAATAACGATTTTTGCTAGTTTTCTAATAATAGGGTCAATATGCTTGAGCGAATAACATGAGTAATATGACAGTGTGGGGGTCCACACGTCTTCAAGTTCCTTGCCTGAAAGTAAGTGGAGTGATAGACAGATGGCTGCAGCTGCTAATTCTGAAGGTCGGTAGTGCGCCATTGAATATTCTACCAAGCAAAGGTCAACAAAATATTTAGCTAAATGGTGATTCTTTGATGTTCCATGTGCAGCTTTCACAAATCTGAAACAATACAAGTTTAAAAATATAATATTACAAGCAATTATTTATTCTAAAATAAATAAGTTAATTTCGCATAATAGCTACTAACACTGAAAAACACCTGGGCAAAGAGCTTTTATGAGCTAAATTATTATTTAAAAAGGCAAATATGTAAATAGTTTGCTAAATGTACTGTATGCAATATTTATTAAATCTCGTTGTACAATCGACGACCTGTTTACACATGTGAATGGGCAAGCTTGTTCGGTGCAATGATCAGTGTATAACAATTTTTTCCCTATCAAAAAACTAAGTGTGTAAATGATGCAAGTGATATATGTTGGCTTTTCATTGGAAGCTAATTCCCTTATTTTAATATTAATACCAATCAAGCTTTATCCGTGTGGTGATGGATTAAGAATTTGGAGTGTCACCCCTATTCATCCCGTGGGTGTCGTAAGAGCCGACTAAGGGAGCAAACTACGCAGGGAAACAGCACTACAAACAGAAGGCAAATTTAACAGAAACCCTTTTTTTTTTTTTTTTTTTAACGTGTGGAAATCCCCTCGGACCGTCACCCCTCCGGGGTTTGCGGCGGGGTGGTGTGTCGGACTCGGACCGACTAAAACCACACGGTGTGCCACTCTGCGCCTGTAACAGGAGGGATCCGGGAACAGCTGTTGTTAAGACATCCGGACCCCTCCTAGCGCCAGCCCGCTCCTGGTGCGGGCTCCGTCTCGATGTTTTTCCTCTCTTTATAGGCGACGTCCGGCACACGCGGACGCCGCCCCCTCGCGGCTGGCCAAACTAATGCGGGTGGAGGGGAAACCCACCCCGTCCACCCGCGGCCACACTCAGGGCGGCATGAGGCTGTGATAGGCGGGCCTCCGCCGCCCGGTTCGCCGGCGGCGGATCGGGTCCGAGTGGAGGTCGTCCTCCCGGGCCCTCTCCGCCGCCTCCTTCCGCGAGATTACTACCTCGCAGAAGGTTGCGACCGCGGTAAAACAACTGTCGCTACCGGCCATGGAGCGTACTACGGCCGGTAGCGAGAGATCCACTCCGATGACTGCAGTGAGGGCCCGGCGCTGCGCCGCCCATGCGGGGCAGACCGCCAGCGTGTGCTGGGCCGAGTCCTCACTGCAGTCGCAGTGGTGGCAGGCGGGACTCAGTTCCCTCCTAGCGACCGTGTGCAGGTACTTTCCGAAGCAACCATGCCCGGAAAGCACCTGCGTCAGCCGGAAGGAAAGGGTCCCGTGCTGCCGCCCTGCCCACTCGGCGATGACCGGCTGGAGAGCCTCCACGGCGGCGAAGCCAGCGCGTGGAGTCTCCAGCCGGAACGACCAACGAGCCATCGTGGCTCGGCGAGCGGCTTCGCGCCACTCGCGCACATCCTCGGGCGGAGGGCGAAATCCGCTCTCCGCCCGGAAGTCAGCCACTCGCCGATAAACTTCGGCGAGCACTTCCGCCTCCAAATCCCACGGGGGAGTTCCGGCCAACGCGCATGCCACCTCCGTCGACACGGTGCGGTAACCGCGTATGGCTCTGACCGCCATTACCCTCTGAGGGCGCCAGAGGCGTACCCTATTCTGGGCGGTCAGAGCCGCCGCCCACACCGGTGCACCGTACAGTGCCATTGACCGGACAACCCCCGTGTACAGCCGTCTTGTCGCGACGCTGGGTCCACCCATATTGGGCAAGAGTCGCCCTAGGGCAGACGCAGCGCCGACCAGCTTTGGAGCAAGCTGTCGGAAGTGCTCGTCGAAGAGCCACCTCCCGTCGAGGATCAGGCCCAGATATTTCATCTGGGCCCGAACCGGTACGAGGACCGAGTTGACCACGATGGAGGCGCCAGGGGGTGGACCACGACGGGGCCCATGAAATAACAGGGCCTCCGTCTTATCTAGGGCCACCCGTAAGCCCAGCGCCTCAATGCGCCCGACCACCAGGGAGACTCCCCCTGTGGCCAGGCGCGCCGCCTCTTGGAAGTTTGCCCCCCGGGCTGTCACCAGGGTATCGTCTGCGTAACAGATTACACCCAGCCCGGGGGGGAAATCGGCGCGAAGGGCCCAGTCGTACCCTATGTTCCACAAGAGGGGTCCAAGAACAGACCCCTGTGGAACACCGCACGACATGGGCCGACTCCTCAAATTACCTTCTCGGTCCTCGTACACGACGGTACGCTCCTCTAAGTAGTCTGCCACTAGCCGCCTCAGGTACTTTGGCACCCCATGATAGTGGAGTGCTTCCCTGATGCAGCTGAATGGCAGACTATTGAATGCGTTGGCGATGTCTAATGACACCGCCAACAGCACGCCGCCACAGCTCACTGCCTCTTCGGTCACGGCCCTCAGGCGCAACACGGCGTCGACCGTCGAACGCCCCGCCCGAAAACCAAATTGGGCGTCCGACAGATCGGGGCCCACCTCGCAGAGGTGCCGGACGATGCGGGCAGAAAGAACCCTCTCAAACAATTTGCCCGCCTCGTCCAGCAGCACGATGGGCCTATAGGCCGCGACCGAATCGGCAGGCCGTCCCGGCTTCGTCAGTAGGACCAGCTTCCCGCTCTTCCAGCACTCAGGGAAGCGTCCCGACGCCAAGCTAGCGTCGAACACCTCCCCGAGGCGGTCTGCCATGTGGTTGAGGGCCAGGGCCAGCACTCGGGCCGGTACCCCGTCTGGCCCAGGGGCGGTGTTCTTGGAACGGATCCGTAGAACAGCCGCCCCTACCTCCGAATCCCGGACGGGCGGAACATTGTCCTCCCCGTGCTCCCCGTCGTCTCCGGCCAGGGAGGCCATCGACGGGGGAGTGTGTTCCGCTCGTTGTGGGAAAAGGCCCTCAACCACTTCTCGCAGGAAGCTGGGCTGGAGAGTCTCCGTAAGGGGGGGGCCCGACGCGCGGAGCTTTTGTCGCACCGCGCGGTAAGGGCGACCCCAGGGGTCACGATTAAGACCCTCCAGCATCTCCTGTCTCTTTTCCTCTTTGGCGCGGCTAATGGCCAGCTTCAGAGTTTTCCGAGCCCGTCGGTACTCCTCATGAAGCCGGTCCTCCTCACCGTCTCCACGGTGACGCCGCCGACTGCGCGTGTAGGACCTCCGGGCACGTGTACAGGCCGCACGGAGGTCCGCCAGCTCCTGGGACCACCAGTAGACCTCCTTCCTTGGAGGCCGACGACCTCGAACGCGGGGCATGGCCGCATCGCATACATGCGTAATCGCATCGCGAAAGCGGCCAGCCCCCACGTCGACCTCCTCGGTCGGAGCCTGAGGAGACAGCCACGAGTGAATTATGGCTGCCTCCTCTAGTAGGTCCCGGTTCAGCCTGGCAACAGCCCACCGCGGAAAGCGGGATAAACGCCGCGCCACGTGACCCCTACTGGAGTCCTGGGTCCGGGAGAGCTCAAATCGGATATACAGGTGATCCGAGAGCGTCTCAACCTCTTCCAGGACACGCCAGTTCCTTACTCGTGCGGCGAGGGCAGGGGTAGCGAACGAGAGGTCCACTATCGACCCCCCCTGCTGTCGCACGCACGTGTTGGTGGAGCCTCTGTTTAGAAGACAGAGGCCCACCGAGGCCGCCCACTCCTCTACGGCCTCGCCCCTGGCGTCCGCCCTGGGGGAACCCCACGCAATGGACTTTGCGTTGAAGTCCCCCAGCACAAGGACGTGCCCAGACGCTAGTCGCCGTATCGAGGTCTCCAAGCTGGTCAGGAAAACCTCGAAGTCGTTCAAACTCCGGTTGGGGGAGAAATAGACACCATATATGGTGATCCCCCCCCACTCGACGGCAACATATCCAGTGCCCTTGTCTCTTAGCGACAAGGGCGGGGAATGAGCCGTCGTGGAACCGACGACTGCCACGGAGCCGTCCCAGTCACCCATCCAGTTTGGACGGGGAGGGACAGAATAGGGCTCCGCGACTACGGCAACACCTATCGACCACTGTGCCATGGTTTGCAGGAAGAGATCCTGCGTATATATGCGAACAGGACTCCCTGTGATATAAACATCGTATGGCACATACACTACCCACAAAATACTGCCACAATCAAAGTATGTAGGCACTAAAAACTTGATATTTTGATAAGTTGAAATATTTTGTTGCAATTCAAACAATGAAAAACCATGAATAATAAATCTTTCTTGTTTACATTATTTACAAAAATTCTGTATTATAATTACCTTCTTAAAAAGTGTAGAGGAACAGGTCTGGCTAAGCAGAAGCCTAACTTTGACATGATATCCCTTTCACATTGAAACATATCCATCTTCGTATATGCATTATCGGTCACATAGATGAAATCTCCAGCATCTGGAGCATAGATTTCTTCATACTTGCTGGCAATGAACATTGCAGTTATGCCAACCAGCTGCAGTTGGTTCCTTTGTATGTTCGGGACTGCCTGGAAAACGCAAACAAATATTTTTTATTTATGCACATATTTATGTACAACTTTTTTTATCTCTCAAAATTTTAGTTACCTAAACAATGCAGACATTTAATCCATGTTCCATGGCTTTTTTATGTTTTTATGTAAAGTGTAAATGATCTATAATATAATGGAACATTGATGACTACTTTAGATCAGACTGCTGTGTGTAAGATGTTTAAAGTTATTATTATTAAGGTAATGAAGGTGGCATGTGAATGTGGAGTGTCACCAAGGGACCAAAACCGCCTTTCTAAGGAGAGTCCAGAAGTGGACTACTAAAGGCTGTTGATGACATGATCCTAGGCATTATAATAATTCCTTAAAATAATTAGAACTTCACACTGCTGACTGCAGAAATTGCTGATACACATATTATTTATTTATTTTATTTATTATTAGCCTTCATTCAGGCACAACTGTATATCTTTGTCATTCATACATCATTCTTTTTTTCAATTTTTGTGTGTCGGTTTGCCAGGTGGCAAAGGCCTCCTATCCATATTAGTATGGATAGGAGGCCTTTGCCACCTGGTTATCCTCTTATAAGTTATCCCAAAAAACATCCTTTAAGAGGGTGGAAAGGGGGTGGAAGTTTGTATTAAGAATCAGTAACCACTTAACTGATTATGATGAAATTTTGTATGAAGATACTTTGTTTCTTGAGGAAAGAATTTTTACTGCGATAACAGACATTGATGTTGGCGGAACCACAAGCAGCTAGTAATTAAGCTAGTAATTTATAAAATAACCCAGATCTAATGTACAGACTTCATTGCTTATTCTGTAGTGACTATTAATTATTTTTATTTTAAATTAGCTTATAAAAAATAGGTACTACTGTTACAGGACTAAAAGTTGCAGCAACAATGTTTAATAAACTTTTTGTTCAGGTTCAATTAAATTATCCAAGACTACCAAAGACACTAAATGCAATCAAATAAATGTAAATTTTCTTTCTAAGATGCTTAAAATAAGTATTATGGACTAGAGTGTATGTGAGAAATGTATGAAGTATCATCATAAATATTTACCTGTAAGTATCGGTCAATGATTCCAATAGTCTGATGTAAAGTCTCTAGCACTAATGAGAATTGACGCTGAACCTCCACTAGCCAATCAATAAGAGTTGCCCTCATTTTTCCAGTTATAACAGTCTGTAATTAAAACATCACAAAAATCAAAATTGGTAAATTTTTCAGCAGTATTTAGATTACTATGGCAAAATGCTTGTAGACCTAGTTACTAATACCTTTTAAAAAAGTACGAACCTGTTTTCTCAAGTGGTCAGGCTCTATATTGTATTTCTCTTCTAATTCTGTCAAATACTTGTAAATATCCTTAATGTAAATGGACATGAGCAAGGGACTATTATTATCTCCAGCATCAATATCCTCAATGTCATCAGGTAATGGTGGCGTCACATCCAAGTCACTATGCAATAAAGCTGAATAACATTCAACAGTCTTTTTGTCATTAACTGGTTTTTCTGTCTCTACTAGCTTTAGCTTCCCTAATGATTCAGTTGATTCCTTGAGAATAGGTTTCAATGCCTTTACTTCTTTGTTCTCTTTTAGAGTTGGCAATTTTGAAGACTTCTTGATTTCGTGTACCTTATCCTTGAGATCAGTAGGCTTATTCTGAGCATCTTTCAAGATAGCCTGAAAATGAATATATTTGTTTTATTTACTTACTTAACTTTATGCACTCTGTTACATCAGCGGAGTTAATACCCAGGGCATTCTCTTCCAGTCAGTCAACCTTTGGGTAGTGTAGTAATCATGAGTGGTAGTTGCACATAGGTTACATGACTAATCAACTAAAATATATACTACACAACACTACATACATACATTTATATACAAATACATACACACACAACTACATAAATTCAAATACAAATATACACACTATTTATATTTACACATATTTACATATACACAAACATACATATTTAGAATATATTAGTACACTATGAATATAAGAAAATTGGTTGGTGTACTATCAATTGGATAATTCTGCCATCGCATAGAGACCTCATGTACGTTCTTTTTAAATATGGAATGGTTTGTGGACAGCCTGACTTCAACTTAACTTCATCAGAATGTAACTGCTTGCTAATCATAAACTCAAAAGCAAAAAATAATCACCCTGTTTCGTGCAGCGGCTCTGGCAGCAAGGTTAGCAGTACTCTCTTCGCGGCGCAATGCAGGCCGTGCCGGCTGGGCAGCAGGCTTAGCAGCAAGACCAGTATCCACCTTGGACTGAACATGGCTGTAATTGCTACAAAAATAAAATATTTTCAGATACCTTCATTAAAAATATACTTTATACTAAAAAGCTACAGCTTTTGTTTCACAATAAGTAACTAAAAAGTTTACATCACAAAATTTCAATCATGATTGATTTAACAATTGGATGAATGCAGGAGTTTTGTAGTAGCTGTACCACTTTATCACATCAATATATTATATTACGTAGACCAAACAATGTAGATAGTATTAACATTCTACATGTAGATAGTATTTACTGATTAAAGGTTAAAACGATCGGGCTATGATAGCTGATGAAATTAACACAAGCGGGTACAAAGCGGGTTTCTTACCTTCGGACAGCCGCACGATTAAGAGACGCTTTTTTCTCAAACTCTGCAGCAGCAACCGCCACTTTACCAACTATCTCCCGTTGTGTTTGTACATTCGTGTTAATGTCACCTAAAGCTCCCCGCACTGCCAAACCCTGCTTTTTCGTCGGAATTGATACGTTACTTTTACCCTTTATGGCATAAATGTTCTCTTGATCCTGGATCTGCACCTACAATTAAACAAAATGCAATCATTACAGAATGATACCGAAGTTGATGTAAAGAACTTGAAACTAAGTAATGTTTGAACTAACTTGTCTGTGCCTTCTCATCTGGACCTCCATTTCTGCGTGTTTATTATAACGTGTATTAAAACTCAGGCAGGCCCTGGTGGTTAAATGTAATTACAGTATTACATACATGAACCCACCGCAAAGGTAAAAATAAAATTTTAAATTACTAGATAGATACTGCACGACTCGAAAATAACGCAAAATAACGGACAAAATTCGTTAACACTAGTGAACTGTATTACACAGCTACGATTGGATAGCTATTTGAAATATGATTGGCCGAGGAATAAATTTCGTTACAGGAAGTAGTCATTCCTTACACTTATATTACGAATACCATTTTCATAAAACGAACGTAACTAATTTCTATCAATAAATTAATTAAAAAATAAAAGTATATCGTTATTATTATACTTTACTATATTATCTAAGAAAATAATAAAAATAAATATAGGAAAATGACTATTGTAAGTCATAGAGAATTTACATGTTTTCAAAGACAAAGGCACTTGGCATTTTTAATTAACAAAATATTAAAAATACGAGTATCTAGCTTTTTCGTTACCAAGCTCTTGAATTAAATTTAACAAAAATTTTGCAATCAGTGATAATTTTGATTACTTACTTTTTAAATTGACTTGATCTATCCAATATTCATATGGATACAAATTAAATCACTATTGTCATAAAACCATTGACAAGTTTTCTTATGAGACACTACAGCGCACATGAGTTTCCTGTTCGGTGGTAAACACAAGGCGTGCACAATAAAAATTTAATGTTGAGTCTATAGATGGGCAGACGGTTGACCTCGAGTGTTTTTTTGAGGAAAAATGGGTTTAAACCCAAATAAAACAAAAGAAGCGGGTTTTTCTTATTTTTATCAACCTAAAAACTACTAAATATCTTTGTTGGTTCAGGACATGAAATGTGCCTTTGGAATAGATCACGTAGTAACTTATAGAAGTTGAATTTTTGTTGGCAGGATTTCATCCAGTTAAAAAAAATCAGGGTTTTATAATCTAATAATGATAAGAAGCATCTATGGCCATGGCAGCTTACTTTTCAACCTACTTTAAGAAACGAAGAGAATCAATGTTCCTTTAATGCTTGTTGATTTTTTCTCCGCCTTCAATGCCTAAATGAACTCTATGGATAATGAACCGAATAAATTTTTTGCTACTAGAAAGGATTTATATGCAAGGAGATTATTATTTTTTAATAAAAATACTATTCTGACAATAGGTTGAATTTTATTAATTAATATGTAAATCAGACACTCTCAGAATTGTCACAAACAACGAATTCTAATTCATATTTTCGTGTTGTTGCTTTACACTCAATGTATATATATGATGGTGTATTTCTTTAAAATCTTCAAATTATATAAAATAAACGTTATTTTAAAAGCTCTTTCTGCAGGAAGAAGATTCCGTTATACATTATGTATATGAGCTTGCGCTTACTAGGCTTGAATTTTCAATGCCACTTTACTTGATTTTGTATAACTGAAGTAGATCTACATACATTTCCACCACACAACTGGTTCAATTTCCCCCAGGCAACGCCAAACAAAAAAGTTTTATCCAAAAGTATTCTTTTGCTTTATAATCCGTCCGCTATAGTCAGTTTTACGTAGTAAGAATTGAACAAAAAGATGAGAGTAGAAAATAGTACATAGTAGTTTATTCATTGATATTACTGTTTTCGGACATTTAAACACTAAAATCAATAAACATCGGAATAAAAACTCGGTTGCAGGGAATAAATGGGTTAAAACACGGTTTAAACATACTAAATGATTTAAACCCGCTCTTTTGCCCATCTTGAGCCCCATTGCGTGTTCATAGTGTGTTGATCGACATAGAAAATGAAAAAAATTGATTCGACATAACATTCGATGCATATCGTAGGATCACAGCCCACAGCTGGTTATTGTATTGTTGTGTTTTCCACTTTACTCCTATCAAAATATTTAACACATCGGGCAACATTGAAAGGTGTTGACAACCACTGTCAACTACAATCGGATTCTGAAACAAATGGCAATGGCAACTTAGAGATAATACAGAATGGCAAGCCTTGCATTACCTGTCATTGTGGATTGTGAATATTGTGATTTATTCTTCAGTATAGCTGTCACGTTCCATATAAAATATTTTGTAAGATTGTTGTATTGTAAGTTGTCGTTAAATTAATGGTTAAATCATTCGCGTTAAGAAAATAGTGACTAATCGTTATCGACGGACTAAGCCCCGCCCTCTAACCAATAAGATTTCAGCCAATAAGGTTCCAAAAAATTTAAAGCCAAGTTCACATTGACCAGTGGACTAACAAAACAGTTGTGTTCTTTAATCGTTATATTAATTTTCAAAATGGATACCTCGCCTATTCGTAAGAATAAAAGTGGCTCAATAATTCCTGTTGAAGAAAGAAAAGTAATTTACAATGTTTTTAAATACTTTAAACTGAGTGACTTTAATATGACTGTGGAGAGTATAGTGATAAAAACAGCAAGTGCTTGTGGCGTGTCCGAAAATACTGTTTATAAGATTATTAAGGAAAAAAAAGTAACTAAGACATTAAAATCGCCAGTAAAGAAAAGAGTTCGGCCATCAACAGTTGATAAATTAGATGAATTAGACAAATGTGCAATTAGGGCAAAAGTCCATTCACTATACTTAAATAATGACTATCCGACATTGGATAAAATTATGACATTGTGTGAAGCTGACGAAGATATTTCAACTTTCAAACGTACCACACTTCATAAAATACTACCGGAGATTGGTTTCGATTTTAATAAACGTAATAATAGATCGTTATTAGTAGAAAGAGAAGACATTGTTTTATGGCGAAGAAAATATTTAAGACAAATAACAAAATATAGAAAAGAAAATAAAACCATATACTTTCTTGATGAAACCTGGGTGAACACCGGACATGTCAAAACCAAAGCAGGGACAGATTCAAATACTGACAATAGCAGACATACTTCTCAAAAAAGTTTGTCTACCCGCGCTAGAGCTCCTACAGGAAAAGGTAAAAGCCTGATAATTCTGCACATTGGTAGTGACAAAGGTTTTGTGCAAGATGGTTTACTTGTCTTAGAGTCAAAATCAACAAAAGATAATGAGGAGATGGATGGTGAAAGATTCCTAAAGTGGTTCAAGAATATTATACCTCGACTAGAACCAGGAAGTGTTGTGGTTATGGATAACGCTCCCTATCATTCTGTGAAAGAAGAAAAAATACCGACGACTGCTTGGAATAGACAGCAAATAATAGACTGGCTGCAAAGTAAAGGGATATTTCTTGATACCAGTTATCTGAAAAAGGAATTACTATATGAAGTTGACACGGTAGCCCCACAATACAATAAGTGTTTAGTGGATGAAACTGCTAAAGACCGCGACATTAAAATTCTCCGACTGCCACCATACCATTGTAAACTAAACCCTATTAAGTTAGTGTGGGCCCAAATAAAAAATTATATTGGTGTCAATAACTCAACTTTTGAAATCAGTGATGTAAAAAAGTTATTGTATGATGCAATAACGCTAATAGACGCTAATCGATGGAAGGAATGCTGTGACCATACGATACTAGAAGAAAATATTATGTGGAATTTGGATGACGTTATGGAACTCGCAGAACAAAATTCTTTTGCAATAAATACAAACGCTGATTCCAGTGATACCGATTAAAATATAATTACAGAGTCAACAAAAAACATACTAAAGTTCAGTTCATACTCGTAGAATCATAAAACTTTCCTATCTTATGTTTACGTCCACTTATTATGCTTTTGTTTTATTTAAAATAATAATTATATTTAGGTAGATAAACTTAAATTTATAAAGATATAATTTTTTGTATAAATTGGTAAAATTTTTACTCCACCCTGAATACACCCTGAATACCCTCGATGAGTCAAGTAGACATATGGAAGTGATTACTACTTTTGAATTAAAATCATATGATGAAATGACGACCGAATGGCGTAGTGGTTTGTGTAATGGACTGCTAATCCAAAGGTCGCGGGTTCGATTCCCGCTCAAGTCAAACATTTGTGTGCATGAACATTTAATGTTTGATTTGGTCTGGGTGTTTCTATGTATAATAAGTATGTATTTACAAGAAAAAAAGTACATATGTATTTATATCAGTTGTCTAGTACCCATAGTACAAGCTCTGCTTAGTTTGGGACTAGATGGCGCTGTGTGAATGTGGTACAATATTATATTATTATTATTGTTATTGATTTAAATCACTGCGATTTCGCCAGAGATTGTGATTTGGTCGTAGACAGATAAATGCCATCATCAATCAAATCGAATCATCAAATCAATCAAAAATCTTTTTAGCAAAGATACGACCTTTTATTTTAGATTTAAACTTTTCTGTCTCAGAGTAGCGGTAGCGTAATGATAATAATAATAAACAAAAAAACGATATACGATGCACCAATAAAGATCGAGCGGGGTATATTTCAAGGTGATAGTCTGAGTCCCTTGTGGTTTTGTCTGGCCTTGAATCCTCTTAGCACTTTATTAGAGTGTTCAGGATTAGGCTATAGGTTGCAGAAAGATGATGAAGTTATATCTCACCTACTTTATATGGATGATTTGAAACTACTAGTCCCACCAAATTACAATTGTCAGCGTTACTAAAGGTGACGGAAATCTTTAGTAATTCTATCAAAATGGAATTTGGTGTAGACAAGTGTGCAGTCATGTATGTTAAGAAGGCTGTGATAGTTGAATTTGAAGGAATAGAGCTTTCAGATTCAACAAAACTCAAATCTCTGTTTGCCAATAAAACTTCGAAGTAGCTGGGTATATCACAGTCGTTGGGAATACCAGAATCTAACAGGAAACAAACGTTGCAGAAAGGCTTTTTTGGCCGTTTGAAAAAAGTACTTAAAAGTCTTTTATCAGTGGGCAACAAGGTGCGAGCCTGCAATGGTTGGGTCATGCCGGTTTTGATGTATTCCTTTGATATACTTAGATGGACTCAGACCGAAATAGATACCCTTGACACTAAAGTCCGTACACTGCTGACTGCATCCCGAATGCACCACCCACGTTCATCGGTTGTGAGATAGTATATCCCGCGAAAGCTTGGGCGTCGCAGACTATTAAATATCAAGATTAATAATCGCAAGATGTGCAATCTCAGAGAATGTTTTCTACATACTGATGTGGGAGTGCATAGCAATGTAGTTGCAGTGAATACCGGATTCACCCCGCTCGCTCTGGCTAAAGAGAATTTTCGTTAAACTTAGTGTTAATGATCGCAGGGAAGTATGGAAGAGCTAAGAGCTAAATGGTCGGTTTTATCGGGCCCTAAACGGGTCCGATATATATTTAAAAGCATCTACGACTTGGCTACGGTATGGTGATCTCTTCGGAGAAACTGAAGGTTTTGTTTGTGCGATTATGGACGAAGTTATCATGACGAATAACTATCGGAAATATAACCTGAAAGATGGTACGGTTGACATCTCTCGGGCGTCCATCCTGGCGAATCAATCACGCATATTTTTTCTGGTTGTTTTCGTCTTGCTAACGGTGAATATTTGCACAGGCACAACCAAGTAGCCAGGATCGTACTTGCCCTTAAATACCATCTTGTAAATCTCGAGGTGCCATACTACAGGTATGTGCCCGACCCAGTTCTCGACAATGGTCGGGCCACGTTGTATTGGGATCGATCTATTATCACAGACAGGACTATTGTTGCCAATAAGCCAGATAGTGTGGTGATAGAACGATCAGAGCGCCGCGCAATGATTGTTGATATCGCCGTTCCTTATGACGAGAATCTCGTGAAAGTTGAAAAAAAAAAAAATAATTTGGATTTATCTCACGAGATAGTCGATATATGCAATATATATATATCTATAAAAATATCTTTTTAACCGATATATAAAAAGAAATGATTTACGTAGCACTGATGTAAAATGAAATAGAAAAGTAAAAAACAAAAATGAGTATAGTCAATGACTATGTAAAAAAAACAATATGCATTCAAGTGTGTTTTAAACGCAATCAATCAATGCAATCAGTACATAATATTACAATAATAAGAACCAATGAAATTAATACACAATCATAACAAATAATTTCATCACATCACATCAACAGCCTTTGATAGTCCACTGCTGGACATAGGCCTCTCCTTAGAAAGAAGGTTTTGGCCTACTATACCACGCTGGCCAGGCGGGTTGGTATAGGGTTTGTGTCAAGTTTTCCGTCTTTTTGCAGTGCTAGTGTCCTGCGTTGTTTTGCGCCCTTAGTCGGTTCTTACGACACCCACGGGATGAATTGGGGTAGTGACATTCCGTATTCTTAATCCGTCACTACACGGACATAATTTCAGAAATAACTGAGACAGAAATAATTTATCAGGATATAATTTTTTTTTTGTTTAAGAATAATTTCATTTCTTGTTTAGATATTCCGTTTTTAATAAAAAAAATATAAGGCATGAAAACATGTAACATTTCATCAGAGACTGTACTTTGAATGTGGGATACCACATTTAATCGCTCCTAGAAGCCTGTGAACGCCCCAGGAGGATTCTGCGCTTCTGGAAGGGGCTTGGTTGGCTCACCTAGCCAACCTCTTTTAGAGTCTAAATGCGGAAATCGGAGCCCACAACCAATACCAATAAGTAGCAGTGATTTTTTAAATAAAAGTCAAAGTGATGATATGATTTATCACACATGATTGTGATTTTTTTCATTCCTACTAATAATATTACTGTACTGTACTCTGTGGTCTATCTCAGGCTTAAAATGTTTTATCTATGGTCAAGTTACTATTTTCTTAACGCGAGCGGACGTGTTTTCTGCTGAAATTTTGATATTAAATTCGTATTGACTTATTAATCGTTTTGGCGATAGTTTTCACGACGAATATATTAAGAAGTAAGAGTAATAATTGACTATCGCCACTTGTAATAATAATTAATATATGCGACTTTTTTGTTCAATTAATAATAACTATTTTTGCTTAGATTTAACGAGGATGGTGCAGAAAGGGCCCCGTCCTTTGGTGTTGTGCGGACCGTCAGGGTCAGGAAAAAGCACCTTGTTGAAGCGTCTTCTAAAAGAATTCCCGGATAAGTTCGGATTCAGTGTGTCGCACACCACTAGAGCACCTCGTCCAGGAGAGAAAGGCGGAGTGCATTATCATTTTAGAAACATAGATGATATGACCAAAGCTGTTAAAAGAGGAGAATTCATAGAAACAGCAACTTTTAGTGGAAATCTGTATGGCACTAGGTAATTATTCATTGATTTTGTTTGATTTAGAATCTTTTGGCCATGTGTTTGTTGTTATGAACTGGTTGGCTTATTGCCAAAAACGTGGTTTTCTTCATATAACTGATGTTATTGTACTTATTGTTTACTAGAATGTTTTAAACTAGTAAATACCTAAAGTAAAATGGTCCCTTAGATAAGACATCTAGGGGACCATTTTACTTAAGGTATTTAACTCGAGAGAGTTAGAAATAAATTATCATCATGATAGCACATCTTGATTGTAAGATGCAGCAATTTCAAACAAACTGAAACATAACATCATAAGCATAGTTCAGATGACCCATATTTTATATTCAGAATGAGAAAAACAAGATTTAAAAAAATGTTGGTCATATTGAATGTCAGCATTAAAATTGCTCAAAACGTTTAAATTAAGAATGTTCCATAATCTATTTTAGTACCTACATAGTATTTACGTTGTAAAAAGCTGTAAGTTATCATCATTTTTTTACCTTTTCATTCATTATTCATCAGGTAATTTATGCAATGAGTTTTCTTCTTCCATTCTCCTTTCACTATTTAGTTTACTACTTACTCCTTTTCTAGCCATATCGTCTTTCATGCAGTCCATCCATCTTTTCTTTGATCATCCTCTACTCTTAAGTCCGTCAACTTCCAACGTCAACACATTCTTCGCTACGTTATGCTCATCTCTGTGCATTACATGCCAATATGAGGATAGCCTATAGCTTCTCAACTTTTCATGTACTAATGCTTGTTTCAGGCTTAGGCTCTAATGTAGTCATTCCTCACTTTGTACATCTGCCTTAACATTCGCATTTCAGCTATTTCTATACGTCTATCGGTACTTACCTACATGTCATCTAATAAAAAGTTATTTTTGAATGTTATAGTAAACAAGCCGTTGATGATGTACGTCGTACAGGCAAAATCTGTGTGCTGGATATTGACATTGAAGGGGTTAAACAAGTAACAACAACTGATCTCAACCCACTGTTAGTATTTGTGATGCCTCCTTCTATTGAAGAGTTAGAGAGAAGATTGCGTGCCCGCAACACTGAACAAGAAGATGCTGTTCAAAAACGATTGGACACTGCTAAGAAAGAGATTACATTTGGTAAGGAACTATCTTTTTATGATTCATCAATAGCATTTAAATGAAATCTGTTGCAATATTACCTAGAACTTAAAAATTAATAAATTATGTTATGTGTGTTAGGAGTACAGTAAATTTGTAGAAAACAACGTATTAAATTTAACATTAATTGTATACAAATATTTTTTCACATATGTTTTTATTTTTTTGTGATTGTTTGCTTATAAAATTGTATCCATAATAAAACAATTTGCTGACTTTGCCATTTTGATATTATCTACATCTTTTCAGATAATTACTGTGTGCACAAATACGTAATTACTATCTTCACTTTGAATTATTGCTCTACAATTTCTATTTAATCAGTTCAACTTGTTCAGCAGTTCAACTTAAGTTGCAAAAAATAAATATTTCTATATAAAACAAGTATATTTGTGATTACTATAATCATCACAGATATACTTGTTTTATATTTACTACTTGTTTTGTACTTGTTTACATTTATAGCATTCGTTAATAAAATATATGATGCAATGATTTCAGGTCAGGAGCCAGGCAACTTCCATATTATCATTTTAAATGACAACTTGAACAAGGCATATTCAGAACTTCGTGAGTTCATATCAAAAAATGTGGAAGACAAAGAACAAGGTTTGTGTCTTGCAATAAGTTTAAAAACATAAAACTAAAATAAGCACTCTATAAATAGATTGTGTGATTGTGCATGTGGTGAATAAAGATTATTTTGGTGTGTGAGTTTCAATATTTGTATCCAAATTAAAGTCATGCATGATTGTGCTCTTTCCCCTAAATTTGGTCAATCAAAATACTGTGTTTCAGGATGAAAATAAACCTTCATTGGTTTACCTGAATTGTTAATCATTTTTATTTTTATGTATAATCTCTTGACAAAAACATGCAATAATCCTCATGCTAAAACCCATAATCTCAGCTAAACATAAGGAATGGATTGTGCAAAAAATGAGGGCTTTAATATTTAAGTTTTCCATTATATTTATATGTTTTTAAAGTTTTTTATGTTTGATTAATTTTACACATGATGGAATGTCCATAATGTGTAAAATTACTGACCACTGTTTGTGGTACCCGTGTATAGCAGATAGCAGTGTATATGAATAGTTAGCCCTCACTATTATGGCACATTGCAATGATACCAACATCATAAGCCGAAGTTGCTACTCTTGCTCATCTAATTATTTCCTCTCATTGTGTCTTTGAGCCATACAGAAGTCTGTCTCGAGAGCATGTTTGCATGTGCATATAATCGAAACATCATCCCGTACCACTTGAATTTTCAATTGTGTGTTTCAGAATGAGTACTTTTGCTTTTCAGTGCAGTATTCAAACTTATATCACCATTAGTTCTGGACCAATACCATGAAATTCCTGAATATAAAGCTGCATCTATATATTCAGTGTTTTTATTTGCTGTCAGTTTCTAAAAGTGTGTGTTAACCTGACTAACAATTTTTTCAACAGGTGATACTTCAGAAGAAAGTAATAAGGTGGAAAAATGAATCATCTGAGCATGGATATGTTTTCCCAGTTGTTTTACGTAGTTATAAATGTATTTTAGTTATTTTAATAGTGAAAACAGGCCCCAATAAACTTAGGTAGGTACACAAATTACAAAGTTTCAAAGAAAGTGAAAAATCTACCTCCCACTAAATATTTAAATATACAGTATTTTAATTCCATTTAATGGTTCAAAGTTATATTGAATGTTTAGGAATTGCCTAAAGTGATGTTGTTTATGCCAGAGAGTCATGTTAGAATAATGTAATATTCATATTAGAAATCTGTGTTAAATGTAATTGGTGTTTAGAAAATTGTTATAATGTTATTTAAATTTTAAAGGTGTATAATGCAGATTTGATATAAATAATAAAACTTATGAATTTGTTGGGAAGTACCACTGTGCAATGAACTAGTAGAGGTAACAGTCAGGTGGGCTTCTAGTGTTTTATTGATTTCATGATCCCGTCGTAAACAGAAAAGCGCCAGCTCAGCTGTATAGCTAAACTGAATTGAGAATACACGGGTATACATAGCATAGACCTCTTAAAAGGAAATAAAACAACATTTACTCCAATCTCTTAACATATTAATATTCATCAACCTTTAATGGTCCACTGCTGGGCATAGGGCTCTCCTTAGAAAGGAGGTTTTGGCCTACTATACCACGCTAGCCAGACGGGTTGGTATAGGGTTTGTGTCAAGTTTACCTTCTTTTTGAAGTGCTGTTCTCCTGCGTAGTTTGCTCCCTTAGTCGGCTCTTACGACACCCACGGAATGAATTGGGGTAGTGACATTCCGTATTCTTAATCCGTCACTACACGGACAATATTAATATTGGACATATTAATATTGAATTATGTAAATTTTATGTTAATCAGAAAACATGCTTTGTAATATTTTTAAATACTCTGTAATTTACATACATAATGTAGATGTTTGAGAATCGGGCCACTCATCCTCATATATATTTATCAAAATGATATTAAAACATTAAACAGATTTCTGGTGCATTCCCGAAATAAACACCAGTAATTTTATAAGTTTTACCATTTAACTAATATCTTAAGTGTAGCGAGTAGTAGTAAATTGATTTAAATTAAATATTATGGTTTTCAAATTTTTTAGCCTGCCAAGAAATATGTACTTGAAGTTAAACTGTATACGTAATGTAGTGTCATATTTATTACCACCTACATTTTAGGAGGAAATGCCATAGATAGTCTTTTATTGAATACACATTCCTAAATTGAATTTCTTAGTTCAATAGCTTTTGGCAGATCTATGTCTTTTGGGTCAGCTAGTGCTTTAAAAATAAAATAGAAGAGAATAAAAAAAATCTGCTTAGTATTATAATTAAGCTGAATTTATCAGCTATACACACATATATTCAACTTTGTGGGACCTCATTACATTTTGTGCCAAATTTATCAGCTTGAGAGTTGCAAGTGGAATGCAAATTAACTAACTATTAACTAATGTTTTTGTTACAATAATTTGTGGAGTAGTGCTTATTCGAGTAAATGTATTTGTGTGACTATATTAACATTCACGTAATTTTAATTGTCTTAATTTTGTGCAATATTATGATAGGTTTTTTTTTCTTAAGTATCATTAATGTTCCTCAATGCAACTTCTTTGCAGTTAGTCCAATTAGCAGCGACCGGGCTTCGCCAGCTTTTATAGAAATAAAATATAAGTATCCTATTGTTATTTTGAATAATAAAGTTTAGCCGCTCAGAGGTATCGATTACTAAAAATAATGCCAATTGTCCAGAATTATCTCTATTTACTGCAAAAACACAATTTTTCATATGTTTAATCTTTATTCTATCCAAAGGTTTTTTTTCAGAAAGATTATGAATAGAGCAGATAGAGATACTACAGAAGAGCATTATATATAGTTTAGCATTATACGTCTAGCTGGTCTGTTTGTTTCTTTCGATATAATCCAAATTATCAAAACGTTTAGTTTTATATTTGTACAAGACAAATCTTTGTCTGTTTTCATTTTATAACATTAGCTATGACATTGAGATATTCTATATCTAACCTGCATAGGTATTTCGGCCCAAAAGCGAATTGGACCAGCTGCGGGAAAACTTCTAATGCATCATATTGTTATATCCTGTTAACTGTACTGATAGGTCATAGTAAATGTATGTCTGTATTACGCACAGAGCAAATACAAAGAGGTGTTGTAATTAGATTTCCCTATGAAACAACGTGTGACAATTTGGTAGGGGGTGTTACGCTCTACTATGTCACACTAGGAGTAATATTAAAAGTAGTATTAAAAGTATTTTAAATTGGATTAAAATTGTATTCACATGTTGGCCCTGACAGTCTGTTCACAAAATGAAAAAAAAAAAATTTGGCGATTGAAAATTATTTAGGACTGAAATGCAGAACAAATTTCAGTATTATTTTATTAAAGCAAAGTTCTACGTACCTTTGTATTTTTAGTTTCCATCACATAAAGTTTAGTCATCTAGTGGCGAATAGATGTATCTATATTTCAAAAAACACTAAGAGAATTTTCGATGACTATATTACAAATGAAATGTGATGAAATCCATAGCAACAAAACGTCTATCCGAATAATTTTAACACGATAAAATACAAAAATTTCATCATTTTTTCTTAATACTAAAAATATAAAATATACCGATTTTGCGACAAGTGCGCAGTACGGACGCTGACCGTACTAATTTTAAGCCACGCCCACTGTGACGATGCCAGGACCTAGTTAAAATAGTGCACAGTTGCTTAGATCCTCCTCTTTGTATTTGCTCCTTGGTATCACGTCACTATTTGGCATTTTTGACATAATAATAAATTGAATACCTATCTTATTCTTTTTATAGCTCTTCGGGGACTTTGAAGAAAAATGGAGTTATTCGACTTTTGAATACCTTTATATTTTAAAATAAGTTATGTGTTTTTATACATGCCGTTTAACGTATTTTGTTGCTGTCAGTAATGTTCCATTTTTTACCCAATAATATAGAGGTTTATGCTGCAAAGATGCTCATTTATATTAAAAATGTCTAGAATATGTTGAAATCAATATCTTTATTTTGGTGTTGAATTTATAATCATTCCAAGAAGGTTAACAATGCTTTAGGTATTAAATCATTATAATTTTACGCTTCTATGTACTTACATCTAAAAAATTTACGTGTTGTATACAAAAATGCAATAAGTGTTGTCGAAATAGAAAATAAACTATTTCAAAAAATATTTTAAATGTTTAATTTATACAAAATACACAAAGTATTTTGGAAAGATCACACCACTCTGGTCAAAAAGAGTCAATATTAAAATACAATGGGCAGGTTTACGAAAGGTTTTTTACACTGATTTGGAATTAGAACATTAACATCTAGTAAATTTCTTTGTTTGTATTAGTGTACAATAGAACTTAATTCTTTACTGAACAAACACGTAATTCGTGTGCGTTACCCCAGCAAAATAATGTCGAAAGTGGTAATTTAAATGTTAAAGATAATTAGTTACTCCGCTTCTGTAATTTTTACGCACATTTTTTAAATTTGTTTTACTTATAGTTTTTAAGTTATTTCAGTTTTTAATTCATTTAAAATAATTTCCTGGGTTACGTTTGTACCGTTACCGCAGCCAGACATTTTCTTTTTTAATTGGAATATTGAAATCAATGTTAGCTAAATAATTAGTTATCTAGACGAGGTAAATGTTACAACTTATTTTGTATTTGTATCTTCTTCGGCTGCGAAGTTATTCGAGATCCTAAAAACACTTCAATAACGTCCCAACACTTTAAATAAGACCTCTAAAGAATTTAAAACGTTGTGTTATAGCATGTAAACTGCCTTCAAATGTATGTGGTGTGAAGTTTCGTTAGGAAACTGTAACTAAAAAGTTATGATGAAATGTAGCTCTCCAGTTCTCGATCACAATGTGCCCCGCCTTTTTTGGCCACCGATACACATATGTATGGATATGTTATCTGAATGTTATGTTAATAATTAGTCCCTTAGTTTAGGTATCTGTACATGTAATCGCGAACGTGGAGAGCTACATTTCATCATAACTGTTTAGTTACAGTATCGATTAGTTATTAACGAAACTTCACATACATTTGAAGGCAGTTACAAGCTATAAAATAATTTTGGAAGTAAGTCTAGAGGTCTTATTCAAAGTGTTGCGGTACTCATCAATGAACGTACGCGGAGCGCATACGTACGCGGTTTTCTCTAGAGGAAACTTACTTATGTGAAGACAGTGGCATAACGACGAAATGTAACTTGATAACATTTTAAAAGACTAATTCCTGCATAGAAGAACGGAGACGTTCTTGCCATGGACACGACAGTCAACTAGCATCTCCAGTTTGAATAACTAAATGCTGCTTTCACATTCCAGATTTATCAATGAAATAGATACGCAGACTACCTTAAAAAAAGACGTTAATCGACATCTCAAATAGTAGTCCTTGAAGAGCAGCAGGCATACAAGTCATCCATAAATGTTGTTCTATGTATTGTCTAATAACTATAAGCGGAAGTGCTAACAATACTTGGCGACTTTAGCAATATGATCCATTCTAAATAATCTGGTACCGAGCTAATGAGTCAAGAATTTTTTTAAGGAAAAGTCATAAAATTTGCGGTTTTTTGTTTACAAAAAAAAAAAGGTAAAAGTCGGAAATAAGTTTGTGTACTGTTCTGTGTTACACCTGTGCGCATTGGCCCCTGCTCCCGGTTACTGCTTACTGGTAATATCAGCGACGATGCGCATGTGTGCAAATTCACTTAAATGATAAAAAAAATAGAGCAGTGCGTATTCATATAAAGTTTACTAATGATACTGCTTGATGCTGTGCAAAACAAACAAGGTGTAACTGTAAGAAATGTTTATTCTATAAGTCAAACAATGTTTAGTAATTATTTTTAAAAGGTACTTATTGTTGCTAATTAATATTTAGAACATGATGTCAATTTATAAGAGAGATCTAAAATTCACTTGTCATGATCAACTACAATGCAAAAACTAAATATATGCTGAGAAATAGAGTGCTCCATTCAATGTGAACTCCTCCTTCCTTCACAGTACATTTGCAACAAGTACCACTAATATAAGGCATTGTTGCATGCATTTTTTAAGACCCATGAGAAGGAAAGTATGTTCATCATGAAAACTTTAAAGTACAATACTGCTATCTTTGTCCCACCTGTCACGATGAGAATGGGGAGGAGTATTTTCACAATCACCGCTAACTGCAGCAGTTTTAGACATATTCTTCAAAGATACACTGCTTATTGCCGGCATTAATTTTGTCTGTTTTGATAAACATTTCAATCTAGGGATATGTGATACTCTTTTAGGGATTCTAGACAACCCATTCTGTTGATTTTTAGGGTCATATAAGGTGTTAGCTGATTTAGACCTTGTATGTCCTACATCTCCTTTATTCTTCATACATGATAGTGGAGTTCTTGAGCCACTCAGGCTACCAGATTTAACCTTGGGTGTGTCATCTATGGCTGCCGATTCATCTTCATATACAAGTAGTCCTTCACCATTTGTCAGTGCTTTATTGCCAGTTTGGCGCAATTCGGCATTGGTGTTCTGTAAAGCCTGTATTAGAGAATCATCAGACATATTTTCTACATTACCTTCACTTGAGATATCTTCAGTTTTTGCTACTACAATAGGAGTCCTCTCAATACCAATAGATGGTGATCGAGGATCTTCATTCAAGAGTTTAAATACTGGGATATTTTTCATGTCACTCTCATCAGTGTTTTCATAGACTTCAGTAAATGGTAAATTGTGTTCACTGTCATCGAACTCGCCATTATCACTTTCTATAAAGTCAAAGTTAGTTTCCAATAGAGCAGATGGTTTGTCTTTAATTTCTTTTGAAATGTTGTTTTCAATTGCCTCATTGGATGCAGTTGAAGAACATAGAGGTTCTTCTGGTTCTTTCAAAGTATCATCTAACGTAACATTAAACAAACCCTCACAAAGATTTCGGGATACTATCAGATCTGGACTTTTGTCATAATCATCAGTGGCAATATCACACTCATCTTCTTTATCGGCCTTCAAGACTGGACTAGCACAGTTGTCATGCTGTAATCTTATATTCTTCTTTTCATTTGTTAGGTTGTCCATTTTAGATATAACAATTGGCGTACGCTCAAAGTCTTGTGTGGGTGATCGTGGGTCGTATGATTGTAAATGGTTTTTAATAACGGCCGAAAGGATAGGATTGTTGTGTATGAGTTTCTCTTCGCCATTTGTATTTTCAAACGTTTTTCGTAGGTCAACATTCTTCGTAATATTATGCTTAGTGCCGGTTTTGCTCTGGAAGAAAATAAACACAAATTAATATAGTAACACACACCGCAGTCGCGACACTCACTGGCATGGGCAACAAAAAAAAAATGGAGGGAATTCCGAGCCGCATTTAGAACTGCAAAATAAAACCACGTTCCTTTACTAAATGACAAAAGAGACAGTAGGTACCTGTAATGGGGTTCGTGCTATCTCAGGTGTAGGTGATCTCGGATCGGGGTTATCACAAACATCCAAATCATTTTTCACCGTAACAGCTGCCTCGTTTGATTTACTTGTATTACTCCCCATTGATATTTCCAATCGCAACTTCCTGAACTATAAATACAATTCGACACTACTTCAATGCTTAACTGTAATCATTGCAAGCTGAAATGAAAAGTTAAAAGCTTTAATATAAAACTGCAGCTTTTTGCTATCTAAAGTCCTGTTGTTGAACAAAAACTCAAAACATGTAACGGCCGCAAGTGTCACGAGGTATTCTATTTTTAAATATACTGCGTTCAGAAATAAATGTAAAGCTTAGAGACAGGGTCGTTCGTAATTAAACACAAAACAAGAATGAAAAATAAGGTTATGAAAAATATGTTTATTTAATAGAAAAATTAGTTTAAAATAGAAAAATTTGTTGTAATGGTCCTCTTTTTTTTTTTTTTTTTTTTAACGTGTGGAAATCCCCTTGGACCGTCACCCCACCGGGGTTTGCGGCGGGGTGGTGTGTCGGATTCGGACCGGCCAAAACCACACGGTGTGCCACTCTGCGCCTGTAATAGGAGGGATCCGGGAACAGCTGTTATTAAGACATCCGGACCCCTCCTAGCGCCGGCCCGCTCCTGTTGCGGGCTCCGTCTCAAAAATTATTATTTCACGCGGACGCCGCCCCCTCGCGGCTGGCCAAACTAATGCGGGTGGAGGGGAAACCCACCCCATCCACCCGCGGCCACACTCAGGGCGGCATGAGGCGGTGATAGGCGCGCCTCCGCCGCCCGGTTCGCCGGCGGCGGATCGGGTCCGAGTGGAGGTCGTCCTCCCGGGCCTTCTCCGCCGCCTCCTTCTGCGAGATTGCTTCATCGCAGAAGGTTGCGACCGCGGTAAAACAACTGTCGCTACCGGCCATGGAGCGTACTACGGCCGGTAGCGAGAGATCCACTCCGATGACTGCAGTGAGGGCCCGGCGCTGCGTCGCCCATGCGGGGCAGACCGCCAGCGTGTGCTGGGCCGAGTCCTCACTGCAGTTGCAGTGGTGGCAGGCGGGACTCAGTTCCCTCTTAGGACTACAGGTACTTTCCGAAGCAACCGTGCCCGGAAAGCACCTGCGTCAGCCGGAAGGTAAGGGTCCCGTGCTGCCGCCCTGCCCACTCGGCGATGACCGGCTGGAGAGCCTCCACGGTGGCGAAGCCAGCGCGTGGAGTCTCCAGCCGGAACGACCAACGAGCCATCGTGGCTCGGCGAGCGGCTTCGCGCCACTCGCGCACATCCTCGGGCGGAGGGTGAAATCCGCTCTCCGCCCGGGATTCAGCCACTCGCCGATAAACTTCGGCGAGCACTTCCGCCTCCAAATCCCACGGGGGAGTTCCGGCCAACGCGCACGCCACCTCCGTCGACACGGTGCGGTAACCGCGTATGGCTCTGACCGCCATTACCCTCTGAGGGCGCCAGAGGCGTGCCCTATTCTGGGCGGTCAGAGCCGCCGCCCACACCGGTGCACCGTATAGTGCCATTGACCGGACAACTTGTCGCGACGCTGGGTCCACCCAAATTGGGCAAAAGTCGCCCTAGGGCAGACGCAGCGCCGACCAGCTTTGGAGCAAGCTGTCGGAAGTGCTCGTCGAAGAGCCACCTCCCGTCGAGGATCAGGCCCAGATATTTCATCTGGGCCCGAACCGGTACGAGGACCGAGTTGACCACGATTGAGGCGCTAGGGGGTGGACCACGACGGGGCCCATGAAATAACAGGGCCTCCGTCTTATCTAGGGCCACCCGTAAGCCCAGCGCCTCAATGCGCCCTACCACCAGGGAGACTCCCTCGAGAAGTTCGCCCCCCGGGCTGTCACCAGAGTGTCATCTGCATAACAAATTACACCCAGCCCGGGGGGGAAATCGGCTCAAAGGGCCCAGTCGTACCCTATGTTCCACAAAAGGGGTCCAAGAACAGACCCCTGTGGAACACCGCACGACATGGGCCGACACCTCAAATTACCCTCTCGGTCCTCGTACACGACGGTACGCTCCTCTAAATAGTCTGCCACTAGCCGCCTCAGGTACTTTGGCACCCCATGATAGTGGAGTGCTTCCCTGATGCAGCTGAATGGCAGACTATTGAATGCGTTGGCGATGTCCAATGACACCGCCAACAGCACGCCGCCACAGCTCACGGCCTCTTCGGTCACGGCCCTCAGGCGCAACACAGCGTCGACCGTCGAACGCCCCGCCCGAAAACCAAATTGGGCGTCCGACAGATCGGGGCCCACCTCGTAGAGGTGCTGGACGATGCGGGCAGAGAGAACCCTCTCAAACAATTTACCCGCCTCGTCCAGCAGCACGATGGGCCTGTAGGCCGCGACCGAATCGGCAGGCCGTCCCGGCTTCCTTAATAGGACCAGCTTCCCGCTCTTCCAGCACTCAGGGAAACGTCCCGACGCCAAGCTAGCGTCGAACACCTCCCCGAGGCGGTCTGCCATGTGGTTGAGGGCTAGGGCCAGCACTCGGGCCGGTACCCCGTCTGGCCCAGGGGCGGTGTTCTTGGCACGGATCCGTAGAACAGCCGCCCCTACCTCCGAATCCCGGACGGGCGGAACATCGTCCTCCTCGTGCTCCCCGTCGTCTCCGGCCAAGGAGGCCATCGCCGGGGAGTGCGTTCCGCTCGTTGCGGGAAAAGGCCCTCAACCACTTCTCGCAGGAAGCTGGGCTGGAGAGTCTCCGTAAGGGGGGGGCCCGACGCGCGAAGCTTTTGTCGCACCGCGCGGTAAGGGCGACCCCAGGGGTCACGATTAAGACCCTCCAGCATCTCCTGTCTTTTTTCTTCCTTGGCGCGGCTAATGGCCAGTTTCAGAGTTTTCTGCGCCTGTCGGTACTCCTCATGAAGCCGGTCCTCCTCACCGTCTCCACGTGTGTAGGACCTCCGGGCACGTGTACAGGCCGCACGGAGGTCCGCCAGCTCCTGGGACCACCAGTAGACCTCCTTCCTTGGAGGCCGACGACCTCGAATGCGGGGCATGGCCGCATCGCAGACATACGTAATCGCATCGCGAAAGCGACCAGCCCCCACGTCGACCTCCTCGGTCGGAGCCTGAGGAGACAGCCACGAGTGAATTATGGCTGCCTCCTCTAGTAGGTCCCGGTTCAGTCTGGCAACAGCTCACCGCGGAAAGCGGGATAAACGCCGCGCCACGTGACCCCTACTGGAGTCCTGGGTCCGGGAGAGCTCAAATCGGATATACAGAGGGTGGGAGTACTCCCCGTGGTGGGAGGCCGCGTAAGAGACGCGGCCTCCCACCACGGGGAACGCGGTCGGAGCTGGACGCCTGGCTGGCCTCCAGGCCAGCCAGGCGTCCAGCTCCGTCCAGCATATTCCCAACTGCAATGAGGATTTCACGCAGTTGGGAGTCAAATGCCCCTGAGTTGGTGGTAGGGGCAGGCTGGGACGCGGACGGGACTTCCCGCTCGGGGAGGTTCGCCTGGAAGCGGGCGAACTGAGCGCTCAGCTCGTTCACCCGCTCCGTCCGTCTCTCGTTGGCCAACTGTAGGCGAGAGACATCGCCCACCAGGCCCTCCACGACCTCCGACAAAGCGAAGGAGGAGTCCTTGAGGGCCCTCACAGACGAGCCCTTAAGGTTAACGGACTTGGTGGCCACCTTGTGGATGACGGCCACCGCCGCTTTCGCCCTCTCCTGCACGGACACGGGAGCCTGGGGGGCATTTCCTCCCACCGGCTCCTGAACCTTGAGCAGGAGATCCGCGATCTCCTCCTCCGCTACGGCCTCGCCGTCCACCCGTACACTTCTGTACGACTCCGCGTTTGAGAACGCTGAGCCTGACGGGGTCGAGATCGAGGCCGAGGTCGGTTTACGTGGCCTCCCTCGACGGCTGCTTGCCACCTTCGGTGGCATCATCTCTTGGGACGTGTCGGTTTCCTCGTCCCCTGAGCGTCCGCGTTTCCGGCTATCGCTGCGATGTTCCGCTTCCATGGCCTCCGCGCCATCCGACGAAACGGCGGATCCGGAACGCAGCCGATCTGATGCTCTTCGGCTCCCAGAGACCAGCTTCAGACTGACTTCTGGGAGCCCCACCGAGATATGCGTTCCCGACACCATCTCGCCCTCAGTGGACGACCCATCCACTCCACTGTTCTGCTTCTCCTTCCGCCGCCGCGAGACTTGACCACAGCGCTCTTCTCGGGATTACGATATGCCGACGGTTGACAGGGAGACTACGTCTACGACTACTGCCTGCTCGGTGGTAGTGTCAGTACACGCCGAGCCCGTCCTCCTTTCTCCACCGCTGTCAGCGGAGAAACTGTGGCCCCTACAGGGCCCCGCCATCAGGTTTTTTACCGAGGTTTCCTCCTCCATGCTCCGAAGAGCGAAGAGCCAGCAGGGCAACCGGCAGACACGTCCACCCTGCTGGACCAGGCCTTGCCCGAGAGCCGATGAACGGCCTCCTCTTCTGCTAGAATATTAGCCGCTGGCGATAATCCTCTCCTCCAAGTGGACAAGGAGGAAACAGTGCCATCGCCAGCGTTTCCAGGGTGCACCACGGGGAGGTTTTCTAGCCTAGCACCCCTAGTTGTAATGGTCCTAAATTAAGCCCGTTTGTCGTTTTCATGATTCATGGGGTTAAGTAAGTAATAGTCAACACCAGATTTGAATTTAGTTTAGATATATCTAAGAAGCCAAGTGTTATTTTATACAAACATTGTAATCATTCATTTATAAATATCGATAAATCTATACTAATATTATAAAGCTGAAGAGTTTGTTTGTTTGGTTGTTTGTTTGTTTGTTTGAACGCGCTAATCTCAGGAACTACTGGTCCGATTTGAAAAATTCTTTCAGTGTTAGATAGCCCATTTATCGAGGAAGGCTATAGGCTATATATCATTACGCTAAGACCAATAGGAGCGGAGCACCAATGAAGAATGTTTCAAAAACGGAGAAAATTTATTACTATTGAGAGACGCAGACGAAGTTGCGCAGGTCAGCTAGTAATTAATAAGAATAAAGATTTAGGCACACAACAGATACAAAGTAAGTTCTCCTATTATTCAATATACTCTGTAGAGTGGGCTGCAG